TTCTGATAGAAAGACAATGGTAAAATACCAAAATACTTTTAAAAATTTTAGAATAGGTAGTATAACACTTATACCCATGCGGGTACCTGTAATTTAAGTCGAGACACAGTATCCCTTGCACCATTGGTATCTAAGTGTTTTGTAAGGACCTTACCAGAGATAACAAAAAGGCACAGCCCTGACCCCCCTCTGCTAACCCTTCCCTGATACACGCAGGTCAAGAAGAAGGACTTTCAGGCCACCTGAATGAAGGTGAGTTCCCCCTGACTCTACTGGATGAGAGAGCTCTTTTTGCCTGTGACTACTCTATTTCAAAAAACAGCAACCAGCCACCTGTACTTGCCCTACAACAATCCCTCCTGCAGTTGAAGAAGCCACCAGTGCAGTCTGCAATTTGGTAATCAGTGGCACAAACACAATTAACCTACTATCCCCAGGCTGGCAGTCTTAATCCTGGGATGATGTTTGCAACTAGCAACCTCACCAGAGAGGCCAAATCAAACTGGACTTCTTGAGAACTGTTATTTTCACATATTGCTCATCCACACCCTCAGGCCAGTAGCAGAAGAAATGTAAAGCTGGTACCTTTGCACATATTTCATTTACATCCCACACCACTGCCTGGCTCTGGGGAGCAAAGCTCTGTCCCCCCAGCAGTGCCAGGCTCTCAGGGAAGCCTCTCCTGGGTCCTAAAGCATGTGAGAGACCTGACAGGAACGGGTGGCTAAGCTGCAGGGAATTAATGCCATTTCTGCACTGTAGACACACAGTAAAACATGGGCTATAATAAAGGGCTCAAGTGAAAAAATTGCTGTTATTTGAATTAGTGACAGATAAAGGATAGTGTCTCCCAAGCTTGAATTGTCACCTGGCAACAGGCACAGAACCTGACTAAGAAATTATTTTTCTTGAAAAACCCAATGATTTGTAGTGGGTGCTGTCTTTGTAAATGAATGTTTATTATTATGGGTTTTTTTCCCAAACATGCAATAGGAGAGTGAATGGTAAACATGTATGAATATTGCTCCTCATTTCCTTTTAAGCCCCTAAGCAGGAAATGTTGAAAATCAGTGTTGGTATTGCTGGAGATTAACAGCTGCTGCTTATGAAGTATACAGGGAATATATTCCTACCAGGACAAAAATAGAGGCTGTTGGGCAAAAAACTGTGAACTACAGACAGGAGTATATCATCACTGTACAGATACACACTGCCTGTGTAATTAATGTGCCTCTGTAATTAAAGAGATTCACGTTGGTTGAATTCTGTGCTTTCATGGTCTAATATATTCTACTGGTGGTCAAAGTTTTCTTTTCAAATCAGTTTTACAGTACTTAAAAATCAGAACTTTTTTTCCAGGTATAGGAAGAAATCCCTCATGTATTTTTTGCCCCTATATATTCAGTATCACAGAATCAGTATGCATTTAAAGATCATGTAATTACAGGGTTTTTTACATGAGCAGTGAGATCTCACAAGAAAAGACACTCCACTGAGCTGTTAGGCCTTTAAAATCGATTCCTGTCACCAGATCATTTGTTTCCCACTCTCCTTCAGGGAGGTTCTACTTAAGTGCTCCCCTTTCATTTATATGGGGACACATTTTCATCACCACAGCTTCTGTATACTGTTTTTCCCCTTTTGTTTTCTTACAAAATAAGGCCTAGGCTAAGGTGACCTCAGCCGCTTATGAAAATCTTTCCTTCCCTATATCCAGTAAGTGCTCAGGGCTCAGCCAGAAAATCTGACAACAGACACAGACAAGCCCAACTTGGCCCTAGGAGCTAAAGCACAGGCAAGATACCTGAGGTCATGATAATTAAAAAAAAAAAAAAAAAAAAGAAAAAAGAAAAAATAAAAAAAGCACAACAAATGAAACCATAATTAAGACATAAACATCACTGCTAAGGCATGTTCACCTTCAAAACAAAGAGCTGGAAAGTCAAGTCCCAAAGTAAGGACTGAAAAGCTGGTGAAGGGTTTGGAGAACAAGTCTTATGAGGAGTGTCTGAGGGAACTGGCGTTGTTCAGTCTGGAAAAAAGGCAGCTGAGGGGAGACCTTAATGCTCTTTACAACTACCTGAATGGAGGGTGTAGCAAGGTGGGGGTCAGTCTCTTCTCCCTAGTACTGCATGATAAGTTGAGAGGAAAGGGCCTCAAGTTGCTCCAGGGGAGATTTAGATTGGATATTAGAAGAAAGCTCTCTGGAAAGGTTATCAAACACTGGAACGTGGAAGTGGTTGAATCACCACTCCTGGATGTGTTTAGAAGATGTGGTGCTTAAGGACGTGATTTAGCACCAAACTCAGTAGAGTTAGCTTAATAGTTGGACTTGATGATATTAAAGCTCTTTCCAACCAAAATGATTCTATGATTCTGTGATCCTAAAATTGATACCAACAGCAACATGGCATGGATCTATGTTGGCTATATTGTTTGATTCTGTGAATAGTGAACTGAGCACTTGCAGCATATGTATACATTACCAGTTTAGCCTGCTAACCCTATGTTTGTCATGACCAGATTGCTTCCCATGGCTGAGCTCTCTGGGATTTGCAAGGCAGTGTCACCCTGTTCTGTGTTCTGTAGTGCAGGCAGAAGATTCTGCTCATGGCTGCTGAGCAAACAAACGGTAATAGTATTTTATCTCATTTCTTTCTTAAAAAAGTATTCGATCTCCCTACAGGTACAACCTGCTGTCATTATCCAAATAAGATCTTCTTACATATACCTATATAATGCTAGCTTTGTTAGTATTGAAATGGCTTCAAAATAAACCCACAGTCTGATTTGTCAGTCCAACAAAATGCCAGCCAGACACCAGGGACATCCGAACAGATCTGAAAATGAAAAGCCACAAAATGACTCAGTGCATTAGGTCACTGTGACAGCCAGGAGGTAATACCAGAGTATTTACTTTGGCTGGAGTCTTCCTTGGCTCATCTTCCTTTGTAGCATCAAAGCCAGGCTCTCATCTCAAGCCAAAGTGCTGTAGCTTGCCTACTTTAGTAACATTTCAACACAGGTACCAGGTAAATAACTAACTCAAACAGAACTTTTAAAAATGAAATTAAAAACTCCTATGGATTAAAAAGAATAGTGATTCTCTTCCCTGTCTCACAGTAGGGAGTAGAAGACCAGACTCTACAGCTACCAGCATGGTTGTCCTCACAATCCTCTCATGATGTTGGGAAGCTTTAACAGTGTCTAAAGATCTCTGGGGTGTCTTTATGTCTCAATATTCCTAAAAAATTGTTTAGGATGATGGAAGTACCATCTTGGTGAGGATTTTCAGCCCATATCACAGTGCAGATGACAGCTATACCCACCATACCCATAGGGATAATGAGAACACGGGCAGTCCTTTGAAAGCTGTATAATTCCCACACAAAATAAAAGACTATGGTGAAGAGCCACATTTCTGTGTATTGAACAGGAGAATTACTCAAAGAATAAAGTCCACATTTATTGTCCCTCAGGAAACATTAGTGACTTTCTTCTCCTCCTCTTTCCAGACCACTGAAGTGACTTCAAGGTACATCTTTCTGAACAATGTGAGCATAACTTTCTAATGAGGTTTGGTTCTATTTGCCACTGAAGCTGCCTGCTAGCTTCATCTTTTAGGAAATGACATAGGCAAATTTTTGTATAAAGTAAAATGAAGCACTGTAAAAACTGATAATGTCCTGTAATGATATTTTTCTTCCTTTGCAAAATTGCATTCAACAGGTTTTCTTGGTTTTTTCCACAGTTTTTCACTGTGAAATGACTGTTCTCTGTCTTTGTAACAAAATTACTTAGTTTGAATCTTTTCTGAAACTTGAAGTGCTTTCTGAAAAACGGAAGGTAAATTATGTGCAGGAAGATGATACTTGATGATACTTAATGATACTTAGTGAGATTAAATCTTAAGAGCTGTGGTAATGGTATAACTCAGGTGACTCATATACCAAAGCAATTAACAAAATAGTTGTTTCTTGTAAGCAGATAAGATGATAAGAAGTCCAAAATTAAAGTAAGAATGTTATGAATGCGAGTTTCAGGGAAAAAGTAAAGCCTTATAGGAAATGCTAAATAATGATGGTTAACTAGAACAAAGGGACTGAGACAAAATGTTTTCACAAAGGTTGGAGAGGTTTTCTCTGCTTGTCCATAGGTTCAGTGAAAAATATCACTAAAGTGCAAACAAAATAATCTCTAAATTTAGCAAGCAGCCCTACCACAAAAGTGGATACATTTTGAAAAGTCAGGAGTCTTCATATTGACTTTTTGAAATGTTTCAGCACTTTATTTGAATTTCCCCAAAGGCTGATGCTCCTGAGAGTTCAATTACTGATGAGCATTAAAGACAATTCTCAAAACTGGATGGACATTCATGCAGTGAGCTAATCACAAAGTCCTTGAAGTCTGCCATCACAGACTTACTTTTGGTCTGAATAAACATGCAAGCCAGGACAACTAAGAAACCTTTCAAGCAAGTACTGCTCCAAGAAATAAAACTCCTGAATCCTTGCAAGACAGGGAATGTGCAGAGCACTGGAGAGCAGGAGTGACATTCAGAACTTTGGCTGAGCCCTGAGCAACATTAGAAGGTCCAGGGCTTTTTCAGTACTACTGACTTGCAGATGTGTGTCTTGAATATTTGTACTAACAATTGTAACTACATTCATTATATTTTCTTGCCTTTTCCCCCTCACACTGATTCCCCTGTCGTTGTTTTCTGCCTCTTTTTAAGTCTTCAGATCCTGCAGATCCCCCTTTCTTCATCAGTTCTGGGAGGTGTTTATAATTTCTTCTGCTTTGGTAGCTGCAGATAGAGATGGTCAAGAAAGCAGGGCTATCCTGTGACTACCTTGTTAAACACCAGCTACTACTGCTCTCTCCTTTTGGTCCTTTGCCTTAAATCTGCATGTCCTTGTCAGTTTATCCCTGTGCTTTTCGAACAATGTAAAAGTCAAGAGATACATAGAAAATAACAGTTTGAAAGGTGTTTAATTTACCTGCAGTTCTCCTTCCATTATACTGAGGAGTTTTATCAAGTCCTCTTTAGAAAACTCTATGGACTTCTTGTTCTTTCATTCAGCAGGTCCAGGTGATTTTGAGTGCCGCTTGACAGTTGCTGAAACCATGACCTCATCTTCCTTCCGATGAGGTTTGTTCTTTTTCTTGGCATCCTCCTGAAGTTTTTCATTCTCTGCATGGCTGATGACAGGCTTGGAACTGGAGAAGTGCCCGTTAGACGAGCTTTCTCCACCTTGGTTTCTGGATCTCATTCCTACCTAGAAAGAACCAAACAGAAAGACGCATTTATAAACAAAATTACTTACAAAAAGCCACAGTAATTACTGCCTTTTTGGAAGAACAACAATCTTCTAAAAACTGAAAAATACTGTCATGCTCAAGAGGCAGCAGTGGAAAGCTCAACCATTTCAACAACTCTGTGTGTGGCAGACAGCAAATCCAGGGCATTATTATAAATTTAACAGAGTCCTAAAGTAAGGGAAATCATCTTTTGTCATAAGATATTGATATGAGATTAAATGTATGGAACTTAAAAGTGATGCAGAAAATGATAAAGAAAGAACTTTTTTTATTGTCACCTTTCCTTCAGTCAACATTTTGATGATTCATTTGACCACTCACAATTCATCACTACAAAACAAAGCAGGATGTTAAGTAGATCTTATTTTAACACAAGCTTTACTTGAGACACAAGAATGTAATTAAATTTTAGAAAAGCATATGCCTTGAATATAAATACTCTATGAGAGTGGAGTGACAAAGTATGATAAAGGTCATTATAGTTTCGCTGAGAGAAGCAATGGTTTTATTCCAGGTAACCAAGAAAAACAGGGAATGAAGACTAAATCGAGCAGTAAACTCCACCTTAAGCTTAACACTGCATGAGGTTATTAGATAGTGAGTGCCACAAAGGAAAACTGAATAGAAGTTTGAAAAAAGAGCACAGAGGGCATGAAACCTCTAAGACGTAAACGGGCAAGATCAAAGCAGTCTTTCCAGAAAATTAAGGGTTTCTCCAGAACGCCAGGTCATGATGATTGAATGCTCACCTCTGTCTTAAGCACTCTTAGACTATGTCTACCCTAGGAAATTCAACAGTGACAGAACTGAGCTCTGACACTTCACTTACTGTATTGCTAAATTTTTAACATACTCTTTGGCAAACCTTTGGTCCAGGAAAACTACCACTCTCCCAACCCAGGAACTCCTGGGCACAATTCAGGAATTAACCCAAGCCATGTCCAGACGCAGCCACCCTTTTCTGGAAGAGAAGAGGGTTTAGTAGAGCAAGCGTGGCTGGATTGAACTATTTGACCCCAGGGACAGGATAGGGACCCTGTGGCTGTTTAGTTTACAAGTAATTTAGCCTTGGTGTTACACCAAACAGAGCTGTGAAAATCATCCTTCCTGTGTATTATCAGTCTTCTCTGATTCTACCAACTGCCATTCAGCAATACCAAATTAAACCACGCACCCATATCATTCAATCTTCTTGCATTTGTTCTGTTTCTTACCCATCAGCCCTTTCCAAGTTGTCATCCCCACAACACACTCAATTAAAATTAACTTAATCTGCCTGTCTGTTGTCTTCTGTGTCTCTCTACCTTCTTCCCCCTTGACCCTGCAGACTGGCCAGGGAAGGTGCTAGTCACAGAATCACAGAATGAATCATAGAATGAATCATAGAATCATAGAAGGGTTAAGGTTGGAAGGAACCTTAAAAATCATCAGGTTTCAACCTCCCTGCTCTGAGCAGGGACATCTCACATTCGACCAGGCTGCGTAAGCCTCATTCAACCTGTTCTAAAACACCTCCAGGGAGGGGGCATTAACAACCTCCCTGGGCAACCCATTCCAGTGCCTTACTGCCCTCATGGAGAAGAATTTCTTCCTGATGTCTAACCTAAATCTCCCCTCTTTCAGTTTAAAACCATTAGCCCTTGTCCTATCACTACCCTCTGGTGAAAAGCCCCTCTCCAGCTTTCCTGTAGTCCTTAAAATTCGGATGGCTTCAGCAGTGCACAATTAATTACTTATCGTTATTAAACAGGTGTGCATAGGGTATGAATATGTTTAAATATGGACTCATATTGCTATCTTGTCACCTTGCTGTCCTGTCACCTTCCTGTGTTATGTAGAAGTAGATCTTTGTAATTATTATTAGTGTAGAACACCTTGATTTTCACTTGTAACCAAGGTATATGTCATATACAATACAAAGGCAGGAGTGAGTTTAGGCTTGGTTCAGGGTAAAATTGTGAGGCAAAAAACAAGTTGGTCTCCTAAAATTTAGATATTCTTCATCCCATTTTAAATCACTTGTATAACAGGCAAAGGAAACCATCAGGAGTTCATGCTGCCTTACTCCAATTTACTTTCATATAGTCATATTCTGCAGTACCTTCATTTTTCACTGAAATCCAGTTTACACAAGACTGTCTCAGAATACTAGAAAGCAAGATCTGCACAGAGAAGTATCTTGCTTTAGATCAACTACAATTCGAACAATAGAATTAAGAAAGCTGAAGAAGGGTCTGTGTGTCTGAAACTTAGCAGGTGTTTATATCAGTAGATCTAATGAATAATATTCCACTGTTTCCAAATCTTTCCCACTCAGTTAAACTCCTCTCTGTATTTAGTTTACAGCTTATTGCTTAGTCAAACAGATGCTTCTCAACATCACTAACATCACACACTTTTCTGATAAGGAACTCAGAAGAGCAACTCACTAGTGATGGGGCAAAACCTAAAATAAATTGACTAATCAGCTTGGCTAATGCCACACCAGGCCTGCTCAGCTTGCTACTTACTTGACTCAGGCCAGTGTTATAAGTCTCTTGCTCACATTAGCCTTGCATTTTGGTAGCTTCACGTTGTATTATCTTTGGTTACTCATGTCTTAACTTCATTAATTCAGTGGAACTTGTCCTGCAGCATAAATGGGGAGAGAATTATAACCAACATTTTTGAGTGAGTGAGTTTCACAATGAGATTCCTCACATTGTAGGCCTGCTCCTATCCAAACAATATGTGATACAGGTATACAATGGCCTTTAACTTCCTGAATGCTTTTGCGGTGTGTTTTTCATCAAACAGTTTGGATTAAAAACATGAATTATTCTTTCTAAAAACAGATCTCCATTATAAGCATGAACAATACCTGAGAACCTCAGGAAATCTTTTAGGTCTCAGGTTTGTAATGGAAAAATAAACATTGTACTATGTTTCCTCTTAGATAGGGCTTTTCAATTTGTTTAACTGTAATGGGTTTAAAACTTTCCAACCATGCTTCCTCTCCAGAGAGAGCACTCGGGATTCAATCTGTCTCTATTTTCTAAGTGTTTCCTTCTGAGTCCCTGTGGGTCACAGCCTCCAGCCACTTCCATCTCTAAACCAAACCTGTTTTTCATGGCCTACAGTAAATGGCTTCATGGCTGTAGAACATCTTACATGTTTAAAGAATAAATATTGCAAGTCTGTCTTACATATGTTTTCCAGTGGAAAACAGCTAATTACATTACAGTATGTTCTGCTTAGTAACATGCTGCATTAGTGATTTCTGTGTCGTAAGATGACTCAACTGTTAGACTCAAAGGTGCACAATTAATTTTAAATTTAACTCATGACTAGGTGAGATACATCATCCACCTCAAACATTGCATAATCAACCAGATGCATTTAGTTGGATATGTTAGACTTCACGAAAGGTGATGTGTCACCGTCACATCATAACTCAAGACAGCCACTGTGATCCATCTGTCCCTGTGGGAGCTGAGATAACCACTCATATAAGCCATGTAAAGGCTGAGTGGTTGACTACAGGTTTATAAGACAGAAACACAAGGAATGCATATTTAAAGTGGGCTGAAATAACGTATGCTGCAAAGAAGTGCTTAATATGATAATTGTGGACACCCGTCTGTATTTCTGATGACATCATGATAAAGAAGAAAACTTTCTGACCAGTTGCATGACATTATTTCCATATGCAAATACCAAAATCCTCAAAATTTGCCTGTCTTTTGTTTCACTAGGGTTCCAAAATTGATCCTGGGGACAATGTCAATCCAACATTGGTAACAAATGTCCTCCTGCTTTCTGCCCTGATCACATCTATATCTTGCAGCATTCCTGATTGGCTTAAGGGGTTGTGTTGCCTGAAGAAATAGGCGGTATGATTTATAATGACTTTAACATTTAATATTAAGCTCTACTATTTTTTCCACCCCTCATCATATTGCATATTAAACTGGAAACCTTTCCTAACAGTTTCCAGTCAAACAAGAAATCTTTATATGATCAGTCACCTTGATTTCAACATTTATTGGCTACTCATTTCAATATGTGCTCACAGCATTGGTACTTGGCATGGGAACTCTTCAGCCTCTCCTCTGTGTCACTCGTTTGTTAATGCTATGAATATTTACTTCAGTCTGTATTGTTGTTCTGGGCATGGGCCCTTTGGCTTTCACAATGCAGCAAACCACACAAGATTTTATGAAATAACCTTTATGTTAGTTTTACTGACATCAGGAGGAAATCTGTGAGGAATTTGCTGAGTTGGATGTCAGGAGAGGACAGGCTGTTTGCAGTTCCAAACCTTTCCCCCCATGGATGGCAATTTGTTCGCTCTGTAGCTCTTGAAATGACAGGTTAGATTAGGCTTCATTACTAGTGCTATTAGAATCAGATAACACAAAAGGGTTATTTGAAATTAACGTGTAGTCCCTCTGCTAATTGGACATGCTGATTTTGGCTCCATAGTGCTTTCCTTAAAATAATAATAATGATAATAATGTTATAAACCACACATGCACACAAAAAGCTGATTTACAGCCATGATATGGATGTTGCCTTTGGCTATAAATTTGTAGTCTGGAGTTCAGTTGCAAATCTAGCTGATTAAGATATCACATGAAAGTGCTGGATTTCTGACAGGCTAACAATGCATTGTAGGGTCAGAGCAATTGGGTTATTAGTGAGCCAGAATTGGAATTGTTTATTAGCTGTGGCTTTGGAAACTATATGATGGGGAGCTGTATCTTTCAGAGGCTCTGATGTGCAGACGGAACAAAGTGCTGCGTGGAAAGGCCTGGTACACAGGGGAGACTGATGAGAACTCAGGCACTGAGCAAGCCAAATCTCTGCCCAGTGATTATCCATCAATGTATAGCACCAAGAGTGACAAAGAAGTTAAAATATACTAAAAATGTAGACGGAATAATATAAAGACTCCATCAGATCTGAAACA